TCTGACCTCCTGCCCTTCCCACCTGCCCCTCTTGTAGAAGTTGGATATGAGCAGAGGTGCCCCCCCCCCCCACACTGCTGGGGACCGTCGTTTCTTTTCTCTAGGCAGAACCAGTCCTTGGTGAAGAAAGAGTGCCCTCTAGTGGGCATTGGCTGGAGCTGCTCCAGACCGCTGTCGCTCAGCCAAGGACAAAACAACCCCACGCAGCCCTCCCGCCAAAGATGATCTTGAACATGCCTTTGGCTTTGGTTTGTTTTTCTCCCTGTGTGAAGAAAAATAAAGAAGAAACAGCAGGAGACCAGTTGTGAATGCAGCTCGGACAGTGCTATGACAGCCCCCTTATCTTGGGAGTTATACCAAAGAATTAACCCCAGGGCAGGCAATGACAGCAAGGTGGATGTGACATCAGATGCTTTTTAAAGAGCTTGTGACAATTTCTATATAAATCACTTACCTGTCTTGACTGATCTCTTCCATAAGGGGGTAGCTTTGTGAGAAGGAAACTCCTTCTATAAGAATTATTGCTAAATGGGTTAAATTTCTTCACGGGCTACCCCTCTGCGGATTGCAAATCTACTGCAATCGATGACTTTTTCATTTTCTTTTTTTTTTGGGGGGGGGGAGGAGTGGAAGCATACAAGCCTGCCTGGCCGTTAAAATCCTATATGTACTAGTACAAACTGGGGACTTGGCCCTTTAAAAGCTATTTCAGAAAAAGCTGTTGGGCTGGAGAGGGACGAGGTGACGGGGAGGGTGGGAGCGCGGGGCGCCCATCAGGGAAACGGGAACCTGATCATGTGTGATGGTTGCTGGATTAGGTAACAGCTCCACTGGTTGAAATTGGATCTTGGAGGATGAGTGTTAACATCTCTGGTGTCCTGGCGAAAGGTTCATTTGAGTCTTGCATGGTGCCGCAGAGATAAAAAAGGAGCTTTTAAATAATCATTTTGTCTCCTCCTCGCCAGAGTGCTGGCTTCAAGCAATAAATAGGTAGCATCAGTTCTGCTTAGACACATCACCCTTTTCATTTATTTATTTAATGTTGGTGTTTTGTTTTTTTTTTTCTTTTTAACTGACTAGCTGAACAGTTTCTGTATCAGTGAATCCCAACGCCCGTTTTCATAGTGGTACGTTCAGATTCTCCTTGTTCTGGGTAGAAATATGACCAGGCAGTGTTGTTTATCAGTCCTTGCCTGCCCTCTGTAAGCACACATGCTCAGCCTAAGTCCACCAGAACCAGAGTCTTCTATGTAAAAGAGATAGAGTTTAAGGTGTTCCCCTGTTTATATTGCTCTTTTTGTTTGTGTGTGTTTTTCTTGCCCATAGGCTGACATTTTCTGTTTTTATAATTTGTGTATAGTTTGAAGGGTGTAATTTGAAGAGGACTGGTGGGGTTTTTTGTTTTTCCACATCTTTTCATTCTTTTCTTTTCTGCATTATCTCTGGCTTGGGACCTATTTTTGCATCCTGAACTCTCGAGTGTAAATGCCAGCGACGTTTCTATGACGGTGCGTAGTGTTTCTATCACACCGATTTCTAATTGGCCGCGCATTTAGCAACCCATTCTGTTAAATCTTAGGGCTTGCGAATTTCTACTGAAGGAGAAATTTGTTTATAGGATTCGTAAAATGTTGTAAAACAGCTAAGCAAAATGCCAGCACTTTTATTGTCCCACCCCACCCCATGAAAACTAAATGTGTCCTTTATACCTGAACAAAGTCAATACATTAGTGCTTAAAGTTCCGTGACCCTCCTGAAACATCCATGATGGGTAGGGGCGCCCTGTGTATTCTCTCTCTGTGTCTTCTGACAGCCTTCACAGTTTCCTGTCTTATTTTATTTAAAACCGGTAAGGTGTCAAGGCCAAGCAAAATATTAATTAGGTAGGTGTGCAGAGTTGGTGTGGAATAATTTGTGCCTCCCGTTGAGTGTGTAAGGAAAAAGTGGAGCAGAGGCATGAGACTGAGTCGGCAGGAAGGAGAAAATATTCTCAGAGGGAAATATTAGGCATATGGGAAAGAACAGAAGTGATGTGCTCATGATCACCGAAACAGCATCTAAGGGACTAGGACCAAAGCTCTGGGCTGTGTCTGCTTATCTCTTAACCTCTACCTTCTCTCAACTGAGATTGCCGGAGCTCTAGGCCAAGGGATTCAACAGGCATGTCTAGGCTCCTTGCTGCTGAAGAGGTGGGTGTTTGATATCACCCCAGCTAGGCAGTGCCTACACTCGCCCTGGTGAGACCTGACAGTTAAGCAGAGGCTATTCTTTGGCTTTGCTAATGTTGTTGATAGCAGAAACCATCATGACGTCTTTCAGTGTCCTGCCACATGTGAGAGGAATCTTCTAGGGAGTAACCAACCAGGAGGGCTGTCTTGAAGGCATAATTGCCTGGCAGAAGTGTTGAACTTTCCTGTCGGCCACTGGGGGGGGGGGGAGGTGGGCTTCCATCCTCTTCTGAAGGGAATGTATTGGACATGAGATTCAGTAGAGTGGATGACAGAGTTGTATTTTGCCTCAGCACAGTTTTTTGAATGATCAGACTAAAGTGATAACAATTATATTTGTTTATTAATGGCTTGGAGATGATTTTTTTAATTGGTAAATGACCCATGTATAGCTTTGCCTATAAAGCAATTGCAATTTACCAAATAAAGAGAAATAGCCACAAACCCCACAACCCCCCGCCAGAGAGGTGAAGAGGGAGTTGCAGCTGGGCCTGATGCCAGGGGCTTGGATGGGCAGATCCATCCTTGAGGGCCTGGTGTTCAGGAAGGGGTTGTAGTGTTCAGTTACTTTCTTAAGGAAACCTGTATTAGTGGTGATACGTTCTCCAGAGGACTTTTTGAGATTTAAGTGAATAAATTCAAACAACAGTGAATGTGAGTACTATTCAGAGATCAACCAAAGGGGATGTTTCCCAGTCTCCTGAGCATATAAAAAAAGTATTTCTTAAAAAAAAAAAAAAGGCTACATAAAGAATCTCAGTGATCCTCTGACCTGTGCCATCCTCACTATAGCAATTTTATTTGGGGGCAGCAGAATACTGAAAATTGATGCTTGAGAAGGGAGGATGGCACCAAGGTGTTATGGTTTGTGTCCAGGTGCTAACATCCTTCTTTTCTTCCTTCTCTTTTTCTCCTCCTCCTCCCTTTCTCCTTTTCTCTCATCCTTTCTGACTTCATCAAGGAGCATGAGTCTTTCCTCTGTATCTTTTATCTTCTTTGTTCCTAAGTGCCACCACCAGTCTATGCGGCTGGACAGTCCACCTGACTATCTCATGTTTCATGAGAGCCAAGAGATAGCTTTCCGTTTGGCAAAGGAATTGACGTTTCTTTCTGAACAACTTGCAGGGTTGGTTCTTGTTGTTCCTGTTGGGAGCCAGGAGCGTGTGGGCACAGCCAGCAGCTATGCTGGTATTATTACATGCATGATGCAAGGTCCTCAGCCTCTACATGTGCTCGGGTATTGAGCTCACACCCACCTTCCCTGTCAGGACTCACGGGGGCTGCCCTGCTGGGGCTCAGGTTACACCTGGAACAGGGATCGCCGGCCACACCCTGCCCTAAGACAGCTCTGGATTCTCTGGTGCTTGTACATCCACTGGGGAACTTAGACCCTGCCACCGCCATCCCCAGAGTGTAAATGAACGCTGGACCCCTTCTCTTCCTTGAACCACTTCTCTCCTACCCTACCCCAAAATTGTGTTCACTTTTTTTAAACATTGAAAATACTTTTCATGTTCCCTCTTAACAAAGACTTGACTGCTGACAACTAAACAGGATTCAGATGAGTGATTTATTTTATGGCAGGTTATGTGAATGGGGTAGTAAAAAAGGCTGTCTGGCTCTTCTGCTGGTTTACTAAATCATTTCATCTCTTTCCGTCCGAATCACCACCACTGTCCCTGGTGTTTCAATAAAAAGCAGCCATCTCATTGATAGAGATTCCGTCCCCTGTAATATCAGAGCACTTTCCTCCCTGTGTCCCCGACACACCTTGTGAAAAGGGCCTCACCCTTGTTTTCAGCAGGGCGGAATCCTGATCATCTGGAACAGCGAGATCTCAATTTTTTGGAACCAGATGTCACTACTCCAGGCCACTTGTCTTCTTACTGTCGTATGTTAGACTTATCTCCATGCTCAGCTAGTCCAGCGGAAAGGTCTTAAGATTCCACTGCACATTTCCTGGATTTACTTAGATTAGGTTATTTTGGAAATGAAAATTCACATCGATCAGATATTACAGAGAAAGTCAATGAGTATAAAACCACAAATTTCCAGGAATCAAATATTAGGAATAAAATAGGAAATGCTTTTATTTAAAATGAAATCAATAGTGTGGAGGGCAAAAGTAAAAATTACATTATTATAATTAACTTTTTATGGTCTGAAATTTTTTCTTATAGTAAAAGCATGCCTAACTATAAAGCTCACCACTTTATAACTACTTTGGAGTGGACAGTTCGAAGGCATTAAGTACATTCACATGATTGTGCAATAGCCATCGCCGCCATTCATCTAGAAAACACCCCCATCTTCCCAGAATGAAACTCTGTACCTGTTCAACACCAACTTCCCATTCCTGTCTCCCCCAGCCCTGGCACTCCTTGTTCCACTTTCTGTCTATAAATCCAACGAGTTCCTTGGCCTCATATAGATGGAATATCATTCTGGAACAAGGCACTTTGCTCCTTCCATGTTCCTAGCCTCCCAGCTCCTCCCATTCGGCAGCCCTTCCCTTTTTTTTTTTTTTTTTTTGCAGTTTTTGCCGGGGCTGGGTTTGAACGTGCCACCTCCGGTATATGAGGCCGGCACCCTACTCTTTCAAGCCACAGCTGCCGCCCAGCAGCCCTTCCACTTTCCCTCAAGTGCCACCTTGCAAGTGATGTGGAGGCGGCGTGTATAGCCAAATAACCCAGCTGTTTTTTGGTTTTGTTTTACATTTTCGCCTTTGGGTGGCTGTTAACATTGCTCTTTCCCTCTGTCTTCTTTCCGTAGTTTTGAGTATCCGAGGAGCCCAGGAAGAGGAGCCCACTGACCCCCAGCTGATGCGCCTGGACAACATGCTGTTAGCGGAAGGGGTGGCGGGCCCCGAGAAGGGCGGAGGGTCGGCTGCGGCCGCGGCGGCAGCGGCGGCTTCCGGAGGAGCAGGTTCCGACAACTCCGTGGAGCATTCCGATTACAGAGCCAAACTCTCCCAGATCAGACAGATCTACCACACAGAGCTGGAGAAATACGAGCAGGTAGCCACCAACTCCGGGCTCAGCACCCAGCCCTTTAGGAAAGGGCGGAGACATCGCACACCTCCCGGGCTGGCAGAGACCGAGCAGTCGGCCTTTCCCACCTGGTGGATTCTTGTCATAGCGTCACCTGCCAACTGCACGGCCCCTGGTCAAACCTGTGCCCACCAAGTGCTGGTCTCAGCTCTTAAAAGTCTAGGCATTATATGGAGATGAAGGCATTCAAAAATGTAGTTGTAAATGAGGATTTCAAAAGATATAAAAAGATATATATTCCATTCACACACCAGGAATGAGTAATACCTGGAAGTCGGGAACATTTGCCCGTGATGGGCAGTACCAGGGCTGGTCAGGGTGCTAGAGGTCAAAAGCACAGTCACCACCTAAGCTGCAGGCAGGTGGGAGGCGTTTTCTGGTCCTTGTTTGTTCTTTATGTGGGATGATTACTCTTTTCCTGGATGATCATAGAATCCTATGGGAAAGGACAGTAGAACCTGACCTTAAAGTCCTTCACTGTGACTAGACTCAGTTCACGGACAAACACTTGCCCCTTTTTGTATGTGGTGTGCAATGAGAGGTGCGCCTCAGTCTCTAAGAAGCATAAAAGATTTCAGGAGACCCCAGGAACGCGACAGGCTTGGATTCCCATCCAGGCACTGTGCTCACAATCTGCAGAACCCATGGTCTGCTTACTATACGCCCAGAGCTCAGGATGGATGGCAGAGAGCTATGGATTTGGAGTCAAAGATGTGAAGGACCATTAAAATCATGCAAAGGAAAGGGTAGGAAAGGTGTTTAATTACAAAGGACTACATGAATGTAAGGTGTTCTCACTGGGATAGAGCTTCTCTCTGTCAGAGAACCCTCCCCGCCTCACCCCACTCCACCCCACAAACGTACCCCTATTTATATATCAATACCGTTTCCGCTGGCCAGTCTGAGTAATGCTACCTTATTAAGAGTCCTTTGACATCAGTCATTGTTCTCGTCATTTAGCTGATACATGTGTTGTCGCCTCTTTGGATGGCATTGTACTCAAGTTCTACAGTAACTTACTGTCATTGAATGACTAGCTTTTTCTTTCCTTTTCTTAAGAGCCCAAAAAGAGGGAGAGAAAGCAAAAGGTAGAAGGCCCTGTACAGTCCACTTACAACTGTCTGGGTAGAAGGCAAATGTAAACTTAATAGAAAATGTAAATTTTAAAATAGAAAGAGGCATTTTTAAATTTAAAGGGAAGAAAATTTTATCATTGCGCACCTATCTACCTTTAAACAGGAGATTTACAAAATCCTCTTTTATGTGGCAAACAAACAAAAATTTTTATGAAGCTTGAAGCCAAGCGTGGTGAAATTCAACCATCCAACAAGGTGGAGGGAGGGTAAAAAGGGGGAAAAATAAAAGCAAGTGTGTTAGGACCTGGACTCAGTGTCTCCCACCTTCTTGGGAAAGAGCAAATGTTCTTGCCACAGAATTGGCCCTCACAGACATTTCCCCAGATCGGTGGAGGTGCTGAGCTCAGACGACTGACTGACCCATGACCGTGTCCCATCGTGTTAGTCTTTGGAGGCTGCCCTCACCTAATGAGATGACTTGGAAGACAGGTGGGGACATTTCCTATAACCACCTCTTTCTGGCCTCTGGGGTTCTTCCTACTCAGAGCTCTTCCTACTTCACCTTCACCCTGGAAGCCTGGCCTCTGGCAGAACAGCCTGCCCAGACCTGTCACCCAGGGTGACTTGTGCCAAACACAAAGGCAGCAGAAGAGCCCAGAGTGTGGCTCCCTCTACTAAACCCGTAAATGGGATAGATGTTGCCCAAGTTGCCAGCAACATGGAAGAACTGACTGTTTTCTTGATTCACCCCCCCCCACCCCGCATCATTCTTCCATCCTCCTCCAAAATGAGTGCAAACTCCGACAGCGATAGGACACTGCAGGAGCATGTTACCACTTACGAAACACTTGGGCTGACATGATTGCAGTTGTTCCTCAAGGCAGTTTTGTGGGGTACCCAGGACAGGTAATGTCATCATCTCCATTTGGTACAGGTGAGGAAATGGAGATCAAAGAGGTTAAGATACATCTGAGATCACACATCCAAGGAGGGAGACGCATTACCCTAGAATCTGGAGTTTGACCTTTAGCCCAAGGGCTCTGATTGGAACTATGCCTGACCCCTTTAATTAGAAGAGGGTGTGTGTATCTGCAGATACCGAGGTAACCAGCTTGTCCTCTGTTACTTCCCTGCACGAGATTGCTGGCACCTGAAAGAAGCTAGTGATAAAAATGTTTGTTTCTGAAAATTATCATGGGTACCTATCTATTATAAATAATAAAGATGTTAAAAATTGGGAACTTAAGGAAAAGCTTTGTCAGTACATAGCAAATGCTATAAATCTAGTAGTTGCAGTAGTCATCCATTTATTTTTAAAAAGAACTGAGACACCATTTTCTTATTTACATGAGCATTTTCTGGTTAAGAAGTGAACACTGCTTAACACCCTCTGCATGCTTAATCACATATTAATATTAGTTGTGTTGTTAATTATAGTAAATAGCAGATTGTAGGGAAATTATGCTATTAACCTTCTAGCTAGTGTGTCTGAGAGATATATCTTCTTCATTTTTCTGTAACAATTCCTCATGGGGGCTTTTTTTAAAAATAGAAAATCCTGGTCAAGCAAAAATGTCACTCTTTATTTTAGCAGTGTCTATATGAAATTACCAAATTGATTAGTTAACAGTTGATCCTGTCGTTTTTTGTTTAGTTTTATCTTCAGGTATGGGGGTGGCAGGTAGGCACACAATAATTAGCTATCATAGCTCCCTTCACCCCTACCCTCAAAAAAAAAAAAAAAAAACAAAACTACCCGAATCAGCCATTGTTTCACCCTGAGGTTAATACATGAAGATTTCTAGAAACTTTCCTTAGAAAGAAAAGAAGAAAATTGTTTTTATTCATTAAATGGGGTTGGTAAAACCCTTTTCCAGCAGATCTTATGGTAGCTAAGGGATTGCAGGAGGCAGATTCAAATAGATGAAACTGTGATGTTTTAGAAACCTAAATTTTATTCCAAGGTCTACTAAAAAAAAAAAATGATCCTCTTCTAGTTTTGCAGGGTTCTGCTTTTGCAAATAATGCTCTTGGGGCACTGATAGGACTAAATCTCTAATTCCTAACTGCACTGGGTTAATTCAAGTTCACAGCTAAGAGAGCTCTACGATCCCAGTTACCTTCGTTGATGAGCTAAGGCAGCCAAATCCAGTCTCATCCTTGGATTTCAACCCAATCCATGTTTTTGAAAGAGTTAAGGAGGAAGATGGTTTACATAAAGTATAGGACAGAAACCTTCTGCAAGATTTTTTAGAGAAGATTTCCCTAGGTCTCTGCTTCCAGCAACACCCTTGCCTTGGAAAGTCTCCTTTTCGAAATCCCTCTGCCTTGAGCTCCATCCAATAAGTGGCTCTCTGTATGTCAGTCCGTAGCAGAATCTCCCTGCGACGGAAACCTCCAGTCTGTGAGAATTTTATTTCATTAGTGATAATAGTCACATAACTGTTGCCTTGAGAAAGCCTGGCCTAACGAAACAGCCCGGCTTCTGCAGGTCCCATGCTGGGAGGAAGTGAGGGTGCAGTACGGGCAGCTCAGATACTGGGAGAATCCGAATCAGTATGTTCTGTCCGTCTCACGGACTTGGAACTCTGCTCTCTGCTGTGTGTTCCAGAGCAGCTGTGGAGCAGCTGCTTTGCTCCACCTCAGCAGTGGGTGAAAAGACTCCACTGTCTGTTTATTGCAGAGCAGAAAGGGCCCCGGGAAAAAATGCCCTGAATAAACATCAGATATTGTGAGTATTTTTATTCACTGTAATGAAGCACATTATTATGATCCGAGCGCTGTGGCTTCCCAGCTGAGAGCTGGTGCCCTTGACAGTCCCTCCTCACATCCCTCCCCTCCTCCCTGTGAGTCCAGAAAGGGCGGGGAAACTGCGTCCCTCTGGGAGGTTGTGTTTCCCTGCAAAGATGACTGGGATGCTTGCTGCATGCCTGACCTTCCGCTCTCCCTCCTGTGGCCCCAGAATTTCAGCCAACTCACTGCCAGGTTTTATCTCCCTGTCTTTGTGGTACCGTTCCCAAGGCTGGGGTTGAATAGAGAATAAACCCCTAACACAGATCTTGGGATTATATAGCCCTCTTCTGAGTGGAGGGCAAAGGGCTATATAGACCTGTCTTCTCTGGGTTTGTCTTCTGCCTATGGAATAGAAGGGAAGTATTTTCACCAAGAGGGAAACTGGAGCCCAGAGAAGTTTACCCAATTGTCCACATAGCCCACTAGGTTGGCTTTCTGAGTTTATCTATAATTTGAAGACATAATTGGGACCCACATTTGTAGGGCCAGACACACATACAGGAAGGTGTGTAATCCTCACTACACCCTTGAGGTGGGTTTTCTCATCTCTGGTTTACAAATAAGGAAAATGAGGAATGGGTAAATTGAGTCACTTTCAAGGGTCCCACAGCTAAACCAGTCCCAGAGGCAGAGTCTACAGGGGTCTGTCAATCAGCCTGCTTTGCTGGGTTCATGGGAGCCATTTGCTCCATCCACAGGCCTCAGCAGAAGAGTGTGGATACCGTTAGCCCTGCTGAAGGGTTAGGAATGATTAGGTGAATAAAACGAGGCACTGGGTGGTGAAAGGATTTGCCCAAGTACACAGGGAGCAGGGTCACCCACCAGACCTCCCTTCTGCCAGTTTGAACCTGACGAGTGGAAGCATCTGCTACATATCTTAGTCTGACCAACCTCCAAGGGTTTCTTAGCTAAAGAATCAGTAATGTGTGCTGCTGTTATTGATACTGCACGTTGAAGGTGCATGTAAAGGGCTGTATGCCAGAGAAACAGCAGCCATGCAGTATTACCCACGATGAGTGTGTTTCTGCTGATAGGGTTGGAGGCCTTAGTCCTTCAACTCTCCATACATCCTTTTGCTTTTGTTATCACAGGTCTGATACAGTTTTACAGCATCAGTGTGAGCTATCTGATTTGTGCATAGATGTTTTGTTGAATGCCCAGCTAAGGAAACCAGGCTGCAGATGCTTAGTGACTAAACCAGAAGGCGGGAGTGTTTAGAGGACCAAGTTTAGGTTCTGGGAAAGGATGCGAGGTCCTGGCCTGGAATGGGAAGGGTTTAGCCTGTGCCTCTGCCTCTTCTTGTTTGCTCTGGGCCACAGTCGTCCCACCTATAAAATATGGAGGAGGGGAAATGTGATCCTCAACTTTGCCTCCAGAGCTGGGGGTTTTCCTTCCTGGCAGGACTTGTCTAAATCGTGTTTTGAAGGTGTTTCTCGAAGGCCCTTGGAGACAGATTGTCTTATAGACACAGTGGCTCTCCAGAAGGCCAGCACAGGAGGGGTTCTTAGGATAAAAGTAGGAGTAGGAATAGATTGATGAGAAACTTCCCAGAAGAGTCACTGAAGCTTTAAATTCCATGATCCCACTTACATTCTCTTGGCTCTTTATGAATCCCAAAATGGGAGATTTGGGAGCTCTCTTATGCCTCGGTTAGTGAGATGAGCGAGGCAGAACTTTCGTGGCATATTTGATTCCAAACTCTTTGGCTGTGAGTTTGGGGACAAAGGGAGATGAAGTATATTTTATACTAGGAGACATATTCTTACCTTTCACTGTAGTAAAACCATGAAAAAAAAACAATTAAGAACAAAATGATGAAGATTTGTTTTTTCTCTTAAAGAAATCAGTGTTACAGCCAAAACTTAGAACCACCAGGGCGGATGGGAATCTGCAGGCCGTCATTTGTTCCATCCCTCTTATATGAAAAAAGCCCACAAACTCTCCTAGTTTTCTTTATTTGCCCGAGTCTCCAGAAAAGCCCTCCAAGCCTCACGCCCCTGATGCATGCCGAGCCTGGGCCCTGAGCCACCCTGTGTGTGTTGTCCTGCCGTTCCAGGCATGCAACGAGTTCACCACTCACGTGATGAATCTGCTGCGGGAGCAGAGCCGGACCCGGCCCATCTCCCCGAAGGAGATCGAGCGGATGGTGAGCATCATCCACCGCAAGTTCAGCTCCATCCAGATGCAGCTCAAGCAGAGCACGTGCGAGGCCGTCATGATCCTGCGTTCCCGGTTTCTGGACGCACGGTGAGTCACCTGCGGGGTGAGGGGCGACTGCCAGTGCTCTCCAGATGCTGCCTCTTCCCTATCCATGCTGAGCCAGACGGTAGGCTGAGCACCGTTCTCAGGCCTGGTAAAGGAGGGCCTTAGACTGGTGAGGCTGTTGGTTTCGTAACGTGCCAGGAAAATACTTGTTTGTACGGGCCGATGTTTACTTCCATTGCTCCTTCCTCTGGGTGGGCAGAAAGGAGGCCTTAGTTCCATTGAGAGAATAGGCCGGGCTGTTCTGTGTTCATAGCACTGACTACCTCTCTGTGCATCTCATAACTGTGGGCCTGCAGTCATTTTCCTCATATTCTGTAGTGACATACTTTCTCCAAGAAAGTCAATTCCATTTGCTTGAAATTCGGGATCTTTTCTACCCTGTATAAGGCAGAGATCACACTTAGTTCAATTCAAGAAATATTTATTAACAAATTACCATGCACCACCCTCTCGGCTAAGTTTTAGGAGTACGGAGATGAGTACGACATGATAGTTTCGTCTTAGAGGGGCAAGGAGCTGGACTAAAATGGGTCCAGTGAATCTGATGTTTTCTGTCTGCCATTGCCGTTCATATCCTTATTATGAGTTTAGAGCATACAGTTGAAAAAGTGTGGATAATACTTACCTGGCAGGGGAGAGACCATGATCGCAAAGGTGGTTTTCCCAGGGTAAGGCTTATCCATTGCACTTCGGATGTGCTGACCCCTGTGATTTCCCCCAAATCACGAGTTTTGTAGTAATAGGGGACTGGGTTCGCACTTTCCCCTGGGGGGGAAAAAAAGCATGGATAAAAGGTCCTTTAGAAAAAGATATGAATTAAGAACAGAGAAGAAAGAGTGAGTCCTTGGTTCCCTTACTCTGTAGACCAGTGGATTTACATGGATCCCTGTGACTCCTTTTGCTTCTGTTGTCCAGCTTGCAAAATGGTGGTAATCTTGTCTTCTATCTACTGTCTAGGAGAGATTTTGATAATTGATCTAGCAAATACGAGTGTGTGGGTATGATTTGTGATCTATAGTTTATCTTAAATTAGTCATCTTTGAATTCAGGTATCATCATTCACATTTCCATGTCCAAAAATACTCCCAGTCTCTGATTTTTATGACTAGAAGGCTAGCCGTGTCAGGGTCAGCTTGCCGTATTATCATCCAGAGGTTTCCAGGCGGACAGACACGTTTGCCATTCCTCTCGAAACTTTCCACCCTGGACATCCTGTTTCATTCACCTCTCCTACCTGCATTTTTCTTCTCTCACTCTTCACATCTGTGGTCTTTACCATCTGCCTAGCATCTTCTCCTAATGTGTCTTTTATTCAGTGTGTTTTGGATTGTATGGAATACAGAATAAGAACAGGGAACACCAGCAAAATGTGTCTCTGGGCTGATAGAATTTCATAGAGTAAGTCAAGAGAAGGTAGAAATGAAGACAGTTTTTCCCAGCTGGGCGTAGTGATGGAGTGGGAGCAGGCTGGTCACCTAAAGCAAGACTTTCTGGGCACCCCCTTGCCTGTGGCCCGCTGCCAGCCTGGCTTCTTTATTGTAGCCCGATGGGCAAAGTGCTGGCACCTGGTGGCCTGTGTCTGGGTCCTTCCTCTGCGCTGCAGCCGCTGCCACACTGCATGTGTTACTTACATCCCCATGGCAACTCCCTAGTTAAGATGCTGGAGTTGGTATTTGTGTTGGCAGATAATGAAAAAAAAGAAAAGTTGGGTGCAGACTGGGTTCTTTGCAAGAAAGAAATCGGAGAGAAGGGAGGAGCAAAATCATTGTCTCCTTGGCCATCTTCTTGCAGTGATTTTCCTCTGCCCCGTTGAAGGTCAGACTCGAAAAGACACAAAACTCGGTGAGCTTTGTCCACGGTTTCTTTCCCTTCCCTCGGCCTCTGCCTAGATTGTTCCACTTGGCACCAGGACAATCACGTGCAGACAGGGTCTTTTTCTTGCTCTGGTTACAACCTTTGAATCATTGCCTCTTTTTAGTTTTGAGCCAAGATTCAAAATTAAAATAATGACCCTATTGTCATGATTGTTATCATTTTATTTGGGGGGTAGATTTATTACCAGTGAAATAACATAACCCCAATGCCAGCCTAAGGCTCAGCAAGTGGCTTTTCCAGCTCAAATATAAATGTTTGCTGAACTTAGTGATTGGGGAATACCCATCAGTGCCTCCAGGGCCCCTGACTATGATTTGGAGAGATAGCTAAGCAAACCTCAGTAAGAAAGACGTTACTCACTGCTGTATTCACATGCTACTCTCAACCGTGCATCGGAAGGGCAGGGCCTCATCAAAAAAAAAAAAAAGAAAAAAAAAAAGAAGAACTTTCATGGAAGACAAATAACATACAAAGAGGACTTGACTTAGTAATAGGATTAGTCTTTGTAATCTAATAGGTATGCAGAATTGAGTGTTACTACTTTGTTACGCACACTCCTTGTATTGGCTTCCTAGTGCTGTTACAGATTACCATAGATTGAGCAGTTTCAAACAACCCAAGTTATTATCTCACAGTTTCTGTTGATCAGGGGTCTGGGCATCATGTAGCTGGATCGTCTGCTGTCGTCTCAGTGAAGCTGTAATCAAGCTGTAGGCAGAGGCTGTGGTCTCATCTGAGGCTCAGGGTTCTCTTCCAAGCTCATTTCGGTTGTTGGCAAAATTCAGTTTTTGTAATTGTGGGACTGAGAGCCTCAGCTCCTAGAGGCCGTCCTTCTTCACAGGCAGTTTGCAGCTTGGCTGACTGCATTCTTCCTGAAAGCCAGCAGGCAGCACTCTCCATGTCAAGGCTTTAACTGAATCTCCTCTCGCATTTACCCAAAGTGATGATTAGTAGCCTAATCGTAGGAGTGACGTCCCATCATATTCACCATCCCATCCTCTCAAGAGGAAGTGTGTATACCGAGGTCTGGGATGTTAGGATTCTCTCTGCTACACTCCTCAACTGAGTGCTGGGCCCAGGTTTCTCCCACTCAGGTCATGTCTTGACATTGACTTAACTGTGCTGGGAAAGAGTATAACTTAAAAATTGCATTCATCTGTTCATTCATTCAGCGTTTGTCATATCACACTACACACCAAGCATTGTGCCAAACAACTGGGAGGTTTATTATTAGAGCTATAAATAATGTTTTTCTTGGTTAGAGAGAGAGGACTTACAAACCCTCTAATTGATTTTCAAGCAACAAATTTAACCATTTTACTCTAACCTTTTGCTGAGAATAACAATAGTAACATAAATAAGTGATTCAAACTGTGCCTCTGCACTTTCTTGTTTAGATTGGGACTACCTGTAATGAATTATTAAAGAGGAAAGAGGAAAGGGTGTGCAGGAAAGTCTAGGCACACCGGAGCTGTACTTAGACTTAATTACTGAACCTAGTGGAGCTCCTGCTATCTGCCACGTGCTGTGTTAGCCACTGGAGTAACAAGGACAAAAAATTGCAAGTAAATGTGGGTTGTACTTTTAGGGAGCTCATAATCTCATGGGACAAAAAGATACTCTTGCAACTAAACCTAACACTACATGTTACCCATGAAGTTCATTCATCTACCAACTAACACTGTATCTAAGGGGGAGGCAGGATCAGGAGAGGGCAGGCAACACTGAGTCTCAGAGGAGCAGGATGTTTGCCAAATGGAAGGAATTACATGAGCAAAATAAAACAACATAATTAGACTTCAATGAGCATTACTTACTTGAGTGCTTACTATACTTTAGACACAGGGTTTCAAATATGAGTGAGACCTGGCTCCCGCCCTCGAGGAATTTGCCGTTTAGTTGGGAAGACATATGTAAACTTGTGGCGGATGCCGTGGGAGGGAAGCGTACAGGGTGGTATGGAGAGGCACGGGAGCATGAAAGCCATGAGCCTTTGGGGAACACAGAAGCATATGATGTGGCTAGACGAAATTATGCACAGCATGTGCTGGATTGGGGGAAATGAGGCACTAGGGATAGGATAGATCCACTGAAAAACCTTAACTATACCGGTGAAGCTTTCGAATTTATTCTATTCAATAGCAGGAACCCCCCCCCAGAACTGTTTAAGAAGGGGTAGGGGAGAGTGTGAGAAATTACCCCTTAAGTTCCAAAATTGCAATGGATTCAAATTCTGGCTACAACCCTGATGACCTTTGTGACCCTGGATAAGTGGCTTATTCTCCCAAAGATTCAGTTTTCTTATCGGTAAAATGAAGATAATCCTGTAAGCAGAAATAAATTAGATAATATAAAAACAAACTTAATATAGTGACTTTGCATGCTAATTGAGCTATCATAACAATATTAAATACTATGTTATGTATTACCATTACCATTATTACGTGTTATATTAGTACTACTACTAATATATTATTCAATTTTATAATGCTTACTGACATGATCAGATCTGTGGTTTAGAAAAATCACTCTAGCGAGTCTCCTGAAGATGGTCCACATTGGAGAAGAGATAATTAACGTAAAGAACCATTGTCAAAGCCTGTACTCCTCAACCTGATGCAACACAAAAATAAGTATGAAATGTTTCTTACATTTTCTGTAAATATCCAGAAAAAAAAAATACTTTTATTTAAAGGTAAAACATTGGGGCTGCGTACAGTGGCTCACCCTATAATCCTAGAACTCTGGGAGGCTAAGCCAGGTGAATCCCTTGATCTCACAAGTTCAAGGCCAGCCTGAGCAAGAATGAGACCCTGTCTCTACTAAAAATAGGAAAACTATCTGGACATTGTGGTGGGCATCTGTAGGCCCAACTACCTGGGAGGCTGAGGCATGAGGATCACTTGAGCCTAAGAGCTTGAGGTTGCTGTGAGCTATGATGACACCACAGCACCCTGGGTGACAAAAAAAAAAAAAAGATAAACATTGACATGTTAAGGAGTCGACTAAAACAGGAGGTTTTTGATGGTGTCCACAGAGGTGTGCTCTTTTCCTGGGAGGACTACAGAAGGTACTATTTCTGGAAAGCACTGATCTAGAATTGTGCTGTCTGGTGTGTGGCTCTATAATTTTAAATTAATGAAAACAATATTAAATTTAAATAAATAAAATGTTCAAAAATAGCTCTCTGTTGCACCAGCCACGTTTCAACTGCTAAGTCGCCAGAATGACTAATCATGTGACAGGCAGTGGCTCCTCCAAACTCATTTCAAAATTAGCAGGACCCCCTTAATATTTTGACATTAACAAAGTCACCTTAACCAGATACATAATACATCATAGTAAACATAGCTATCCTCTTTGAAGAAAAAAATCAGCAGTGACAACAAAGGTGGGATGAAAGGAATAGATTTGAAAGGCGAGACTGGCAGGACTTGCTTTGAGGCCAGGCATTTGATGAAGGTAAGAAAGCAGGAGAAAGTGAGGCCCACTCCCGTGTTCTGGCCCATGCCGGGTGCTCAAAGATTGGAATGAGTGAGCAAACAAATTAGGAAATGTGATGAGTCATCTCTATGATGACGGTATTCAATAACATGAGGGACAAAGAAGATGGAGCTGATTTAGGAGAAAAGTGATACTAATTTTGGAAACTCAATTTGAAAGTGCCTGGCGTACATGGCAGTAAATGGGCCTAGGAGAGGGAGTAGGGCAGGCGACTACAGATTTGGTAATTAACAACATATGTCTGTGATGGATGCCTACACTTCTCGCTATCATGGGTCTTTTCAGCAGAGATCCTGTTATTCAAGAGGTTTCTGTCCCCAAAACAGTTGATTGAATATTACTGTACAAATACTGTATTCATAAATGCTGTATAAATATTACATGTATAAATACTGTATTTATACAGTAATATTCAGTCAGCTCCTCATATTGTGAACTAAAAACCTAAACACCCAACTATCAGTGCTTCTGAGTAGTTTGAAATCACAGATGTGAACCCACCCAGCTGATAACAGGTCAAGCCAAAACAAAGGAACCAAGGTGTCTTAGTTCGCTCCAACAACCTTATTGTCAGAAAGGTGTTAATTTCACTGTTTCTTGAAATCTTGAAAAATCCTGATCCTAGGATTTCCAAGGCCCTGGATTGAGACAGCTACAGAAAGAGGTGATAAGCGAGTCCATCAGAATAGATGAGACCACCCCGGGAAGATTGCACAGCGCGAGGAGAAGTGAGCGGGAACAGCTGGCGGCACCATCCGCATCCCACCAGCTCATTCCAGAGAGGCTTCCTTTGAGCTCAATTGGAAGAGTCCCAAAAAATACACTGTAATGCTAATGCAAACAACTGAATGAACAACCAGAGACTCTCCCAATTAGGGGAGACTTGAGGGTCCAGTTCCCCAGGCCTAAAACAACAGTCGTCTTTAGGCAAAGCAGCAGCAGCCAAAGGTTATCTAAAGATTGGCCTGCAGACCAAGTCAGCCACTTGGCTATCTTCCCCGAATTCCCATCATGCAAGAGCTCTTACCACATGCCTACTTCTTAGTTGGGCTTTTTAATCCAATCTGTACAATTTCTGATGCTGGGTGACCCAGAAATTCAGCAGGATTTGGGAGAGTGACTTGGGCTTGGCATAATCTGGACAGATGTGGTTAATACCTGTGGACAGATGGTGTTCATCCGGTAAAATCAGGCACTTTATTGTGTTAATTAATCCAAGTGGGACCCTGAAAATACGATATTAGCTGAATTTCCTGGCTAGTAGGGCCATCCGTGCTTTCTGTCGGCTACATGGAGAAATCCTATATCCTGGCAGAATCAGGGATGTTCTGGAAATAGTTTCCACAAGGAAAAGCTTTTAATAAAAGCAAGAAAGGCAGAAGTGCTAAGAGAGCTAATTTAAAGATGAAGGCCCCACCACTTCAAGGAGGGCCGCCAGAGGCGGAGAGCCTGCAGTGCCCGGACTGTTCTCCCTGAGTTGTCTGCAGGCCTTGGTTTCCAGGAAGCAATAAAGTGATTCTCACTTTAAATTAGTTCAATTAGCACTTTTTTTTTTAAAGGCAGCAAAATGCTTTTCTTCAAAAAGTGGTTTTCTTCCTGTTGGCAACCTGTATATGAAAAAGATTTCTGTGGGCTTTTGTTTGACCATTTAGCAGCCGTTCCTGCTTAAGAAGTGCCACTTCTTCCTTGCCTTTTGAGAGAGGTCGAGCCCTCAGAGGTTTAATTTCAGTCATTTCTGTGCCCTCTTCCCCAGATGCCTTTGAAAAATGTTGCATGCATTTACACAGGCACAGAAGAGGGAGAAAATGATAACTTATTTTTAACTTAGGGCTACAGAGTCTCTGTGGAATTTCCAGGAGCCGGTTTGTATAGACGAAAGGGCCTGGGTTTTGTATTTGGGGATGCCTGAATTAATGTCTTGGCTCTGTAACATGCCAGCTGAGCGACCTTTGAACTCCATTTTTCATAGAGTAGCATGAAAAACCGTATCTACCTCGCTGGTTGTAAAAATGGAATAACTTGAACGCATTGCTGTGAAGGGTGAGGCTCCATGCCGACAACCTGGTAGGAAGAAAAACTGTCACCACAAAATCCTAGCGTTTGTGGTGGTCCAGCCTGGTGCCGAGGGCCGTCTGTGTGTGGCCTCGTTTCTTCCTTACTGACCTTGGGGAGCCAAGTATGACTCTCTTCACTTCCAGCTGAAGATGCTGAGGCTCACAGAGGCTCACAGAGGCTCACAGAGGCTCACAGAGGCAACCCAAACCACCCACCTGCTATTCATTTGCTCTAGGATTCCAAACCAAGAAGGCCTGAATTTTGAAACTTCACACGCCTCACCACTCTGTCAAAATACTTGTCACCGCTCTTTGGTGCCCAGGTTCCCACCTGCTGCACAGAGAACACTGAACAAATGCTTTTAGTGATGGTTTCGGCATCCAGCCCTTTTCTGGCAAATCTTTTCTAATTCACCTTGTGCCCAGATGGCGCACATCTATTAAATTCACAGCTACTGAGTACATGGCACACTATCTGGGTGACAGGTACGTGTCTAACTTGGAGTCAGTCTGCCCCAAAACAAAGTCTGTACACAAAGCATGCGTACCCCCCAACACCGCGAGGTTTCCAAAAGAAGTTTTCTTCTCTCATCGGTAGATCTTATTCTCTCCCTTTTTATATTTATTTGGTATGAACTTTTTGTTGTTGTTTTTCTTTTCTTCTTACAAAGGCGGAAGAGACGGAATTTCAACAAGCAAGCGACAGAAATCCTGAATGAATATTTCTATTCCCATCTCAGCAACCCTTACCCCAGTGAGGAAGCCAAAGAGGAGTTAGCCAAGAAGTGTGGCATCACAGTCTCCCAGGTGAGGAGCCGTCAGAAGGGGAGGCCTGTAGCCTGGCTGGGCTGGGAGCAGGAGGCAGGGGCCTCGAGGTTTCACTTTATGCAACATTCATGCCTTGTAAGTTCCGTCAGCTAAAGCTTTAAAATAGCAAAGTAAGCAGTGGATGTGTGTGAGAGAGTTTCTAGGTAATCACTTGGCCAAACTTGACAGGGACTAACAGAAGGAGAAAAGTAGAGTATGGTGTAAAAATAGCAATGGGGGTCTTCCTGCCCGGCACTCCCTTGCTTCAAATGGGTGATGTCTCTTAAATGTACCTGGGGAGTTATCTGCATTCCTCCTGCTCTTCTCAAATTTAGTTGATTACTTAACCATTTTTCTTTTTTTTGCCCAGCCCAGAAACTTTAAGAGTCAGTGACTGGAACTAGTTACTACATAGGCTTTTAAGTGAAAGGGACTTCATTGTCTTCTCTTGATGTGCTGACTCTGTAACTGATAGAGTGTAGGAATTTTAACATGTCACTGTGATTACATTGGAATGGTTGTACGAAATGTCACCAAGTGACTCCTCCTTCCCCCAAAGAGCAATAACCATAACAGGTGCCTGTTGACTCGGAAAGATACATGATATAAAATTTTTATGATCCTGGAGTCTTCACCATCAATATGAAGTGGAAAAGCAGGCGATATTGATGTGTGTGCACATTTGGTCCGCTCAGAGGATCCATCCAGACTTCCTATTCAGTCTGAACCTCACATACCACCACTGGTCTCAGGAGTTACTGGTCCCGAAATCTGTCAGAGAAAGATTTCCTCAGAATTATGTAATATGCAAGAGAACTAAATGTACTAATATTTCCATTACAAGTGGCAGAGGGGACAGAGTAGTGGAGAAGAAGCCTACTCTGGTGAGGAACTTCACTTAGGATTTTTCAAATGAGGTAGATGCTGTTGGGTATTAACTGAGCTTCTGTCCTTCCTTGGATCAAATCCTGGCTTCTGTTGCTCCCTGCAGGGTGCAGATCCTGTTAATCTGTGTTTGGCTAAGCAGAATTAGGTTCAGACAGAACACAGAACTGCACCTCAGGTAGCTTAGTTTGTTATAGGGTTGTAATCGTTCTTGTCCAAATTTAGACACTTGTTCTCTCTCTCTCTCTCTCCCTCTGTCTCTCTTTATCTCTCTCTCTCACACACACACATACACACACAAAAGAAAAGAGAAGAAAAGGAATTGAAGCTTTTTAATATTTTTTACACATTTGAGAAATGGTTCCAGGTATGAACCACATCACTAACTCACCCACCAGTGACTTATGGTCAAGAAGTCTCCTGCTTCTAAAGTAGAATTCAGTCACTTTATTGTCTGAATTCCAAGTCTAGGATTTAGAATTTCAAATCCCTGTTGAAGATAACTTCTCAGTCTCCAGAAATGGAAGAAATAAATTCCTTTTCTTTATTAAAAAGAAAAAAAAAGGACCTTTGGAAACTAATCTGTGGTACAGCTAGACTTGAATATGGGGTGTAAAACTTTCCTCCCTAAAGTAGGGAAAAGTCCTGACCTGCTCCAGCAGCCTTCACTTCCTACATTATGGAAACTCAAGGAGCAAATAGGTTGCTCAGTCAAATGATTATTTACATACTGTGTCCCTTTCCTCTACCCACGGCAAGGCCATGCCATCCGTCTTTCCCCATCACTCCCTCCCAAGAACAGGCATGCTTCCACCATTGCCAGACCAGGGCCAGAGGGAGCAATATGACATATCATAGGAAACGCATTAGGCTAAGAGCATGTTTTTGACAAGAGTCAACTGTGGGATTCTAGAGAACTCACTCTTTTGGGGCGGGGGATCTTGGTTGTCCACATACCAGTCACGGTTTGTTGGGTTACATGATTTATTAAATCCCTCTCCTGGCTCCATTTCCAAAGCCAGGGGATGCCATTTGGGCAGTATCTTTCTTAGCGTTTTCTATTGATAATCACCCTCACACCCCACCCTTCCTGAAATTCTTCTATGTTGACTCCCTGGAGATTTTTCTTTCTGGGTTTTCCTTCCCCCTTGTGGGCCACTCCAGCCCTTCCGGGCGGGGGGGGG